GGGAGGAGCCCCGGCACGGGCCCTGCTGTGTCCGGCCCGCTGCCAGGGCCGCCCTGGCACAGGCATCAGTCTGGCTTTGTTTCCTCTCCTCTCGCGGCTCCGTGGTTTACCTTCCCTCCCGGCAGCATCCAGGGGACCGGAGTCGGCCGGGGACGGGGCCCGCGCCCGTCGGGAGCTGTGAGGAGGATTTCGCGGGTTTCCTTGAAGGGGGCTTGTCTCGCCACACGGCGAGGCACCGAGAACACCCACCGCAGCGCGTCACCGGCATCTCACTACCGACTGTCACCATTTCTGCGTTTTCCCTTAAATCTGCTTTTCTCCCGCTGCTGCAGTAACTGCGGCCCTGCTCACCCGGCAGCACAGCCCCGGCAGCGCTAGCTTCCAAGTATTGGTTAAACTGCCTTTCATTCACTTTCCTCTTCTGGGAATACTCCTAGAAAATCCATCTATTTGTTTTCCCTTTTCAAAATAAAATTACGTGCTATTTTGTCCATAAACTTCAAAAAGACATATATGAGCTACCAGACACAAACTTAATTTTTTGTGCATTCCTACACAGGGACTTACAATTTATTTCCTCCGTGTATGTTTGCAGCATGTAGAAGCGCAGAACCAGAGTTCACAGCTCTACTGGCTTCAGCTGAGCTAAAAGGATTAATTTAAGCTGAAAGTCTGCCTCACTGTTTTTTAGGTCTCCTTTAGAAAAATCTTGTTTCATTAACACTTGCAGTCCTTAAAACCAACATTATTCTAAGACAGTTCTTTTCAGATAGTGATAGCTTTCATTTATCCTTCAACGTGTAGCTCTTAGTTAGCCTCTATGGCAAACGTTTATGCCGAGATGGTTGCCCCTGAAAACCCATTTCCAATTGATCAGGGCAAGTTTAAAGTAATTCTGAACATATAATAATAAGCCACATAATTGTAGCAGATTTTTTTCCTGAAGAGAACAAAACACTACAGCAATAGTTCACCCAACAGGAAATATTGACCCTTACAGAGTAAGTTGCCAAGTGTACGTACAGTACTTTAGAATTGCATATTGCAAGAAGAGATCATTTATTCTTGCAGTTAGAGATTAAGTAAACCTCAATTTAGCTCATGTTGAATGAGGACTTAGACTGATTTGTCTCCAAAATCAGGGCAAAGAACTCAAATTCTGTACAGCACTCATAGTTTGGAACTGGGAATAGAAACCAGGTATCAAATATTAATAATTTATTCCTGTCCAGAAAATACAAACCAGTAAACAGAGACAAATGGATCCAAATCCAAGCACTTAATTCTCTCAACTCCCAGGATCCCCTTATATAACAGAAATTGAATGGATGCATCTCCTTTTGGTAATGTATTGTGCATGTGCTTAGTCCAACAGTTCCCGCAGCATGCTTCTTGGGTTTTGTCACGCTTGGGACTGTTTTCAGGAGCTGAGAGAGGAAGAAGCAGCCTCACACTTAAACCCACAAAAACAAAAAACCATCTCTCATTTTTATTTAGTTCTTTCTGTTTGGCTTCTAGTAACAACTTTATTAAACATCCAGCTCCCGCATGTTTGGTGAAAATTTACAGCTGCAGAGAAAGGAGTACAAACACTTAACTTTACTAAGAAAACAATTATAGACTTCATCTCATCCAGACAACACACCAGTCTTTCTAGACAAAACTTCTATGATACACACTTAAGGAAAATCAAAGGAGTAATCTATAAGGAAATACAATACATTAATGTGAAACCTCAAACTGGACTGGCCAGCTCTTTATTGTTTTCTTAAACATATTTTATGAAAAACAAAAAAAATTCAGATGTTTAGTCCAACTGCAAAAGCTAGTGCATACACAGACCTAATAATGACATTACATTTCTGCTTACTATTTGCTGGGTTTTTTTTCTTAAGACAGACCATAAAAGTTCCTGCTCAGTAACAGAACAAAACTACTACATATATTTACAGATTATTCCCACAAAATTTTCATCAGCTTTATCAATATTTATTAGTTTCCAGGCATTGTCACAGGCCTTCACTTGCTCTCACTGAAGTCAAAGACAAGACTCTCATTGGCTTCAACAGGAGTTAAGCTCTCAAAGAATAAGGCAAGGATGGTAACAGTTATGAGTAATATAATAGGATTGGAATGCACCTTGAGACTTGTATGACTACATGTAAGTAACACCCACAAATAGATCCTGAAATAACATATGTAAAATGATGCAGATTCTTAAAATGCTACAGAAACAAATACAAATGAAGCTTGATTAATATTGTGTCGGGGTTTTTTAAGTAATAGAAATCTGTGACGCTAATTTGGTAGCAAACGTGTGCCGAAAACAGTATTACCCATAAATAATCAGTGTTATGAAATTGAATAAAATTTTAACTAAACACATTATTAAAATATAATTAATGAGTATATCTGTGCATACAAATTTTCTCATTTTATACTAAGCTTCAGAACTCTGTAAACTGCGAGGCATTCATCATGCTTAACATGGCAGAAAGTTGTACTACATGTCTTCATGATTTTATTTTGTTCAATCCTCTTCCCATTAAACAAGCAAACACTGTCATCACCATTTTTGGCTTCACTTCAACCAGATCATCTGGGAGAGCATATATACGAGCACCAATTTTTCGAGCAACTGAAATGGCGTACCTTGGAAAACAAGAGAAAATAAACACTGTTATTTTCCTTGCATCTGCTAGTGTGCCAAGATTCACAACAACAACAACAAATTTTAATAGCAGGATATGCCTGTTCAGTCAGTACTAACACTCTATTGGAAAGTGGACATTATTGTGAAGAAAGCATGCATTAGCAATTGTACTGGCAGACATTTTGCTACTGCTTATCAAAGCATTTATTTTTGTCAAAAATAATATGGATTACGGCAGGGTGCTAACCCCTCAATTGCAGTGCAGTGGTGGTAGGTCATATCAGCCATGAATTTCAATTCATATTTTAAATATGCTAGAAAAATAGCTCTAGAATACCAGACTTTATAATATATTCTATTTGAAACATATCAACTAATATTAGTGTAATGTCTCTCTCAACAAATTAGTAAATCATTCTTTTCACCATTAATTCATGCATTTCCTGCACTTCAGAAAAATACGAAGTTTTCATTTAAAACTTACTTAGCGTTATTCAATTTGTCTTGGTAAGAAAGATCTTCTCTCTTGACCATTTCTGGACGAACTGCTTTTGGTGCAATGGCATCTATTAAATCTAGGACAGGTAAACTAGTGCTAATTGATTTATCCTAAAAGAAGAGACTCAAAAGATTAGTACAAGGAATTTGCTTTGATTATTCTGTCTTCACAATGCAAAAAACCTTACAGCACATCTTACATACCTACTGAAAGAGAGCAGCATATTTTGTTACTTCATTGCGTGAAGGCTCCCCCCACCCCCCCACCTCAATCTGAGGTCTAACGTTCTTTTCCACAACCAAAATAATAAGGTTCACACTCCCTGTTGATATTATTATGACACAAATTGTTTACATTTATTTGATGAAAGAAACTCCCTCCCTTCCCTAAGGAAGGAAGGGAACTTTGAAAGAAGTCCAAGGACCAGACTTTCAAGGCAACAAAAAGGTATTTACATTCCCTAACTACTTTCATTTTTCTCTTTTTCTTTTAATGAAACTATTTTTTATAGTACTTATGGTCACTCATTTTATAATTTTTAAACTCAGATGGTACTCTGAGCTAGTACGAGCAGTCTGTGTTTTGTATTTACTGCATGGACATGTGTTTTCTCCCATTCTTAAAACAGCAACTGCTATTGCTGCAATTATTTCTTCCCAACTGTTGGGGCAGATAAGCAGCTGATGATGTTAAACCACTAGTCAGCAGACAGTGCCAGTGAGGCTGGCTCTGCTCCCGGAGGCGCTCAGTACGTAAGCCACAGGACATGGCAGGCTTCACCACCAGGTCAGAACTATGATTTCAAATTCAGTGAAATGCCATAGAACCACTGCATTACTTATACATTTCAAAATAGCAACAGAAACTTGCTTGAAGACACTGAATGTGTGGAGTATCTCCCCAAGATCATAAGCCAAAAACCACACCTTTGTCATTTTTATTGTTTGAACTAATGGCAATTCAACAGGACTTCACTTTTATAATCCACAAGCATAAGGGACCTCTGCTTTCTCTGCTACACAATCTGCTTGTTGCAGTAACCCCAAAATACAGTCAAAAATACAAATTGTGAAAGACAATATATACGTGAATATTGCCAAAAATCAGTAGTAAAAATAGGTATACTGAATAATGTCACTTTATATCAGTAGCTCCTTATCTTTATGCTCTACTATCAGTTGAATTACCTTAAAAACACAACCAATGCCCCCCAAAAATCACATGCATACCAAAAGCAAGATGTTGGGACAGATTCTCTTTGTACTTTCAACTTATTTATACTATCATTATTACACTTTATGTAGAAATAAGAGAAGCAGCAATCCCTTTTAAGAAGACAAAGACTTAAGTTACCTTCTAGAGTAAAAAAAATTAAGTATTTCGTTCTATAAAATTATTTGATATAACCTTTTGCCTAGTGGTTACCTAATTCAATTTAGTAACACAGTGAGCTCTCAAATATTTAACTTGCTAGGTTCTTATGTTCCTGTTGTGGACCACAGACATAACTGTTTCAGAGTATACAATGAACCTGCATAAGAATGTTATATTTGCATGCTAGTCAATTATTAATCTACCATTTCTAAAGAATGAAATTCACACAGCATGACACACCTGACATATGTATAACTTCTTTCATGTTTAACACTAAAAATATGAAAGGAAAGCTTTCTTTATCACACGGCAGTGACAATGCGCTGGTTAACCTGAGCTCCCTCTCCTGGCTCTGTCAAACCTGAGTACATCTGTTTGTCCAGCTGTTATTAAAAGTGTCAATTTCCACCCCCCACCCCTCCCCCCAGTATTTCCAAAATGGCTCTTCATGTTTTACAAGTATTAAAGTGTTTATATCAAAGAATTTGGAAGATATGACATGTTATGCCCAAACACTGGTAACTTCAGACACAAGCCCATTTGCAAGTTTAGCTTTTTCTTTTTTTTTAAGGTTTCTTATTTTGTTTCGAATCTTACAACATCTTTTTGTTATTTTGTTCTTTTGTTATCAATAGACATGTATAATTCTTTTGAAGATTCATAGACTGTCAGAAATACTTCCTTATACAATTATGACAGCTGATGGGAGAGCCACTGTTAAAGCCAAATTGTTAACAGATCAGGTTAAAAATCCCAGATCTGATTATACAAGGAAAGAAGAAAACTAAATTATTTTGGTTACCTTGAAACTTGTAATTGAAGTTTTCTTATTTGCTTTTGTAAGTGTCTGATTCACCCACTTAATAATAACGTTATCATTTACTTTTTCCCCCTCTCCAAGGTCTGATAGTACGTTCAAAGTATACCTTTAATAAAGAAAAAAGAGTCTGAGTTAAATTGAGTGGTAGAACTCGATTCTGCTAACAGTACAAAGCTACAAGCAAAAGTAAAATACTACTTCAGCACAGTAACAACGCCAGGGAAGTGGTTGAGTCACCATCCCTGGAAGTATTTGAAAGATATTTAAAAGGTATTTAAAAGATGTGTAGATTTGGCATGGTGCTTAGGGATGTGGTTTAGTGGTAGACTTGGCAGTGCTAGGTTGCCAGTTGCACTCAATGATCTTAAAGGTCATTTCCAACCAAAATGACTCTATGATTCATAAGGTAACCTTACCTTATAAACTAAACTTTTTAGTACTTTAAATCACTTTTTTGGTTGTTGCAAGAATGAAATAACACGTTCCAAAAACCATAATATCCACTGTTACATCTTCATATATTTGTTTCACTCAGTACATCACAAGTAATTTTACTTTATAAGCTTAAATGGCTCCCTACCACCCAAGTCACCTTGAAAACTTAAGTCACAACAGTCTGAGAAACAAAAAGCATTGAGTGCTTTGGGGTAGGTGTAAGAAAATTAACTTGTAGAAAATGTTTGCAATAAAATATTCTTTATTGAAATCAATTTATAATATGTTTTTTTTCCTGTTCAGTGCACTAGCAAGATTTTGATTTTATGATAGTTACATTAATATAGCTGTGATGGCCTAAAAATTTCTTCCCATTTTAACTTCTGTAGCATACATCACCTCTTCTTTTTTATCTTTCTTTTTTGAATTTACAAATATTTAAATTACTCTCTATTTACAGAAAGATACATGGAATCAAAATGCAAAAAGTTGTGCTTTTTTTTACCTGCTGCAGGATTTATAATTTTAATCACAGTTTTTAGTATATAAGATTTTAATTGTCTCTAGAAATGGATGCGTACACACACATACTATTGTGGTTTCAATCACTACACAGTATGTAGAACTACAAAAAATGTATAAAAGTTTATCTTAAAGATATTTAGAGACGTCTGTCTAAAATACCTGTTGGGTGAACTGAACACCAGCTTTTATTTGCCTTGATATACAGGGAGACACATATACGTACGTGCACAGATACATATAAATATACACACATCTATCACATACTGTGCCTAACTTACCTTCTCATCAGCTGCCATATCAAAGCCAAAGTCAGAGTTGGATTACCCTCATTTAGATCGTGTCCAGCAATACCAACCAGTGAGAATTTGGCTTTTGTCTTCCCGAGTTCTACTGCATAATTGCAATTCTCAATCTAAAAATAAATGTTGTGTGCAAATAATGAAAATATCTTAATATTTCTATAATACAGACCTACAGTCTATGTGTATTTTGAATTACTTTGGCTTACTGTTACTGATAGTGAGATTTGGATCTACAGAAAGATTTCTAGACTTTCTACATTTTACTATAAATGCAAGTATGCAAAATTCCAATTATAATACTTTTTCACACGTGAGAATCATAGAATGGTTAGGATTGGAAGGGACCTTAAAGATCATCTAGTTCCAACCCCCCTGCCATCAGCAGGGACCCCTTCCACTAAGACCAGGTTGCTCAAAGCCTCATCCAGCCTGGCCTTAAACACTTCCAGGGAGGGGGCATCCACAACTTCTCTGGGCAACCTGTTCCAGTGTCTGACCACCCTCACAGGAAAGAATTTCTTCCTAATATCTAATCTAAACCTACCCTCTTCCAGTTTAAACCCATTTCCCCTTGTCTTGTCATTAGTTGCCCTTATGAAAAGTCCCTCCCCAGCTTTCTTGTAGCCCCTTCAAGTACTGGAAGGCCGCTATAAGATCTCCCCGGAGCCTTCTCTTTTCCAGGCTGAACAGCCCCAACTCTCTCAGCCTGTCCTCATAGGAGAGGTGCTCCAGCCCTCGGATCATCCTGGTGGCCTCCTCTGGACTTGTTCTAACTGGTCCATGTCTTTCTTGTGTTGGGAAAACCAAGATCACTTCCACTAAAGCCAATGAATTAATGTATACTTACATCAAAATTGAATTTGGAAAAATACCGGAATGTGTTGTTCTTAGACAGTAATTTTTTTTCCTCTACATTTCTCAATTCATAATGATCACAAAACTAACTGAAAGCTTGGATTCTGCAAGTCTTGCACAAATTCTCCTGGCAGCATAAAACTGCTCTGTGAAGAAACACCTCACAATATAAGAGCATCAGGCAACAATAGCTGTATCAGGCCTGAAACTTTTATTTAAATACTCTAATTAGACCCTAAATAAAGTATTGCAAAAAGCGTCTGCATTTGTAAACTGAAGTGACGTATGCCGTAAATGCTATTTATTCCTTGAGATAATATCTGGAAGACTTTTTCTGCTACTCAGACTGTCTGAGTAGCACACAAATTTAGACAACACAGATTAGTACAAACAGCACAAAGGGAGACAGTGAAACTGGGCTGCATTACTGAGTATCTACCCACCTTTTTCATATTACCACCAAGCAATGGATAAGGAGGTTTGTTGACGTGGTTCCAGTCAACCGGTACACGAGTCATATCATACAATTGGAAGATTATTAAAGCGTCAGAGAGGTCACTAAACCAGAGTAGAACAATGTTTTTTAGTATAAAAGCTCATATTCATAATGAAAATGTTAAGTACTTAAGACTTCTCAAAGTGTAATTAAGTTGCTGAAAAATTCCAGTCACATAAATAAAAATTTGTGTTGTTCTGTGGAGAAACTGGCCTATATCCTAATGCTTGATTTCTGCAATTTTTTTTACATTAAATTGTGTTTTTAATTTCATTGTTTTCACAAATCTTAGTGAAGTAAGCACAGCTACTGGTTTTACCAACTTTAATTAAATAATTGCTTTCATTGAGTAGGCATAGATAAAACATCTAGTTAAAAAGTGTTCATTTATTGATCTAATTTTAGTTTCCTCAGAACTTTCCAAAATGTTAAATACTCATGCTTCATCTGCACCTACAGATGTATTTTGCTAAAAAATAATCAAAACAAATATACTTATCTTCTGAAAAAAGAATATCAGGAAAAGTATTATCTTCCCATTACAAATTGCATTCCTGATAATCCCCTTCAGCTACTTGTCAAATGAAATTCTCCATGTTAAGCAGTCTACAGATGGTATCACTTTACATGAAACCTAATAGCAAGTATACACACAAGCAGATGTTCCCAGTTGCTCCCTATATTCCATCCTTTATGGATGGGATTTGAATCAACCGCTGGCACAATTTGAAAGTGATCAGAAGCATCTAAAAGTCCTTCATTCTGAGGGAATACCACACTGCATAGATTCTTACAGTCTACTCGGCAGATGTCTATCTATCCTCTCCTATAGTTTAGAATTATATGACTGTTTTAATAGGTTTGTGGTCATTTCATCTGTCATGAGACAAAATAAAAATCATGCATTATAAACCACAATTATCTTAACTTTTTAAGAAACATAATTCAAAGTACAAGTGAGGGGAGCACACCAAAACTTTTTAGGTTTTCTAACATTTCTAGATCGCGAGTAGAATATCTGAGTCAGATACTGCTTAATGCAGTTCTACAGACCAGTTTTGAAGTTCCTATCACACTGTGTGGAAACCTAAAAATCACTGTTCTAGTAGAAATACAACTTCCCTTACTTCTTCCCTTCTTTCTTCCCCTGTCATCCAAGGGAAATCAAGTTAGGTTTTTTTAAGAAAGCCTTACCTGTATAAATGATTAACAAATGGGCTTACACCCAGTGAATTCATCCAGTTTCTGAAAGTCCTTTCCTCCTTACTTTCTCCTATGGTGACAAATATAATACTACATAAATGATTGGAGAAAACAATTTAATAAGTAATATTTAAATGACTCTCATACCTGCCCCCCCCCCCCCAAAAAAAATAAAGTAAACCCCTTCCCTAACAGTAGTCTTCTCCGGCGTTAAGTTGAGGGAATCCTATCAAATTCAGAGTCCCTCAGTTCTGAGCACAAGGCCCCAGGCACTACAGGGAGTACTATTCAACAGTATCTTTAAATCTGTTTGAAATGACATATTTTTATTAAAAGTTAGTACTAACACACTTAATTGCATCAAACTACAGAAATTACAGTTCCACTTCTCTCCACGCAGAAATTCCTGGTATTAATTTATGAAGGTCCTCCCCAAAGCAACAGACCTCACCTTTTTAGTTTTTAACACTGAAGACTCAACAAGGCAGTACTCTATTGGTTAAATTTGTGAAGCTATTTAATCCTGACAGGAGGGTTAGTTATTCCTCCAGTTTTAACTAGCAACTCTGCTTATGAGAAATGCATAAAATTCAGTACAGAAAAAAAATCCCAAACCACGTGATTTTCCTGACTTAGCTTGTTTTTATCTGTTGTCATCATGAGTTCTTCAACTATGCTCTTTCTCAGTAAAGTTATAGTTTGCAGTAATACATTAATTTTCTACATATATCACCTAAATTTTAACAACATGTCTTGTGGCCAATTGCATGAGACTCAGTACCTAAATTTTTACAATGTATCTGTGGCCAACCACATGAGAATCAGTGCTGCATAAGCTGTTTTCTCTTAAATCCAAGAAGAGCATTTGAGAAAATATTTAGCCTGAATATGTGAGCTTGGAATAACCTCATCACTTTGTTCCCCTGGGCCGATAATCCACAGTTAAGAAAACAGAAAGGACATTGAGAAGGGAGTAAACCTCCACAAACAACGAAAGAACACATTTCTCAGGACTGAAACACATAAAAATCCAAGTAAGATTTTTCTTTGCTTTTATCGTTTGTTCCTTAGAAGATAATAGTACCAAGTTTGTCTAATGAGGTTTATGTAGCATGAAAACAGTCTCATTTAGTACTGTAGTTCTGTGGTGACTAGAGAACATTGAATGTTTCTGCAAAATGAAGCAACTGTATAAACGTTTATTTATCATTAGATTAGAAAGAAAACCTCTTAAAAAACCCATTATTTTTCCATTAAATAGATCTATGTCATAACTGATTTTTAGATAGAGGTTACACAGTTTTAATCTAACTCTTCCCTTTTTATACAAAAAGCTCCAGATTTCAAAACATATTTATAAAAAAAATGAAACTCAAATTTCAGCTGTAACTGTAATTTTCCAACAGAATAAAATTTTAAAAGTTTCAGCCAGCTTACTAGTTACTTTCCTTTCCAATTATTATGAAATAGATTATTTTCATCCTACTGATATATTTTCTTTCTAAATTACAAGGTCTTTCATATGCAATTCAAACTAGTATTTGTTTCAGATTTACTTGTAAAAAGTACCAGAGTCACTGAAGAATATAAGCTGAAATAAAGAAAAATACTATTCTGCAAGGTCTTCAGGCAGTCAGCTTTGTTTCATATATTTCTTCCCAAAAGACAACAAAGAATCACATTTTATGACAAAGTTATTAAAAATATCAGTGTTTTTCCATAAAAAGATACAATCAAAATACAAGCATGATATATAATTTAAGTTTACAAAGAGTAACTTAAGAGGTTATAGTATTTTGAAGCAAGGCCCTTTTTTTTTTTTTTTTTTTTTGAAGTTTTTAGCTTACTGAGCTTTAAGTTGGTTGGCAATACCTGAAATACTGACTGCAAAGTGCTTTTTAGGAACACTTGTCCATTGCAAAGGCAGTAACAAGATTATTTAATGAACTCTTACCAAATAAAGCGTAGCTACAAAAACAGATAACTCAGCAACTGCACTCAGATTGGGAATTTTAAAATGCATGCTTAAAACTGTTGAAAGAAGCCAAAGTAGCCAAGCAGGAGCAAGAGCATGCAAGTTGGGCAGCAGCCTTTGGATAGTGGGAATCCAGGAACTAAACCCAGCATATATTTAATATGCCACTCTAAGCAAATCCCTTTATCATGCAACACATAAGCGTTCATAAGTTTTCCAGATGGCTGAGAACTGACCAATTTTTTCTCTCTATTTTTTATTTAAAATATACCTGGTGATCCTATCAGGAGCATATCTTCTGCTGAGTGGTGCAGCAGATAGCCAAAATCATTGGAAAACTGCAGAAAGGGGTCAGAGATACACAAAAGAGAGAGGAGCAAATTTGGTAGTATCCTTTATATTTATTGCCATCTCTTTCTTTGAGATCATTATACCATGGAACTGAGTGGGGAGTAGCCATAGGGCTGGGGTCAGGAATCCAAAGGGCTCCAAATACCTACGATTCTCTCTGAAAGACAACAGAGCTCAAGATTCAGTTTGCACCCTAAGTTCAGCTGGCCTGAGTGGGAGTAGTTACTTCTCTCATGGTGACAGCCTTGAAGGCTGCCAGTGGACTAAGCTACAGCAGCAGAGGACATCTACACTGGAGGAAACATGGGTGAACAGAAGTTCCTCCTCTTACTTCCCCAAGAACTCAGCTTTCTGTGTGACTCAAGACTCCAAACTCTGCTGCCTTCCCCACAAGTGAGAGGTTCCTCAAAGCAAAAGTCACACTCAGTTGAAGGCTGTGCACTGACTGAGGTCAGGACTCCCCACTCCATTCCCACATAATATCAAACATTCATTTTGCTACATCAGTATACCTGAGGGATATGCTCTCTGTACACAAGTGCACATCACCAGACTCGTTAAGCACTGTCAGAGCAGATGTCAATTTATGCACAGTGTTCATTATCTTAATGAAGAAATCACAGCCACTTCATACTCTTTGGGTGGAACAGTCACTGAAAGGATGGAATTTATGCAAGAAAATGAAGACTCAGAAGGCTCTACTCACCCACACAGGCCTACAGCTTTACATCTTGGTTCATGGAAAGCCCCTACTGGATAAACCCACAGGAAGAACTATATGGCATTTGACTTTCTGCAAGTCCTGTTCCTATTTTATGTGCATCATGTTAGACCCATGGGTTTTATTTTCTTCTCTTTTACTTATGACGGCATATTAAAGAATAGAAAAATACAAGAACAATGCAAAAATCAACCAGAAAAGGACAGAGATGATTAAAACACTAGGGAAAAAAAAAAATCATAGAATAAACACTTTTATGGAGTACAGAAAAGTACTAAATACAGTACCTACATTAGGAGGGGTCAAATCTGGATTTCATGAAGCAAAATAGGAAAGCATTATAAATTATGATTCAGATTTCAACAGACAATCTATGATGACACTATAAAGAAATGAATGTCTTATATATTACACTACCTTGAGAAAATATCAGTAAAACGACAGGTTTTTTATGAAAAAAATAAAACAAATTAACAGAAAAACACATTAACATCGCCTTTTGGCTGAAACAACTATTTTGATAGTTTAGATCTACATGACATCACAGGAATTTTTATATGGGGACAAAGGAGAGTTATCTACTTGCCTTTTAACAGATAACATTGTCATGATTATCCACCTCTAAAATATATACTATAAAAGTTAAATTTGGCCAGTATTTATCCTTACAAATCTAGCATTCAGGTGATTGTAGCTTTTTTACAAACTGTTTTAGCTGAGACTTTGATCTCATCTAAATATTTTAGGAAAGTTCAGAAAGTAGTTCAGCTGGTTTTCACCATGCCAATGAAAACTCTTCTAAATTTGACCTAGTTTTCAGTAATTTGAGTAATGCCTGCAACTTTATGTTCAGAACAGAGAGGCTGAACTGAACTTATTCCACCTCCATACAGCTCCTGTATGCATTTCCAAGAGCATACATTTCTAACAAAATTGCAGCAGAGGACGAGCAGGTCTTTCCTTCAATCATTTGTCCTGGACAGCAGGGACTGCAGTGACTAGGGATATCCCAGCTGAAAAGGGAAGACTACCTTCTGTGCTCTGATACCTCTACCACAGCTGGCACCTAGATGAAACTACAAAAGCAGGAAGCCTGAAACAGGAGTGGTCTGAGGGATACAAGATTTGTGACACAGGGATGCAGCAGAGCAGACAAATTATGAAAAAAAGAGGAGAAAAGGAAGATGGACTCACCTAGATGGAAAGGAAACCTGATAGGAACAGTAAGAGGAAGGCAGGAGTAGGCAGTGCAGAGGAATGCGTGAACACTGCTGATGATTCTCCCGAGCGCGGCACCCCTGATTCTCACCATTCCTTTGAGATCAGTGAGCAACTGTGATATACACTGGCAGGAGCCGTTTCACTGTCCTAGATCAGCTGGTCCACAGAAAGGGTAACAGCCAAAGATTGCTACCAATTATCCCTTCATCTTCAGCATTAGAGACCTGAACTGTACTGTTAAAATCCAAACTTGCTGATGTGCTAGGATCTATGTAGGTTGCTGATGCAATACATTAACCTAGGTTGCTGATACATAAGCCTTTTGTTTAGTATTTTCTGTTTTAAAAGGCAAACTAATATATATACACACATATATATAAACACAATATGGGAAAAGTACTTTAAAAGACTATTACAATTGCATAGTATAGCACTGCAAATTAGGGAAAGCTAGAATTTTTGCATCAGCTAAAATATAAACAGTATGGAAAGAAGCACAGGAAACTGGAAAGGGAATAATAGGACAGTTTTTGCTCCTGGAAATTAATAATAGAAGGTTATTGAGGCGTAGCCTTTGATCAGGTTAACACAAGTGGACAATATTCACAGTAATGGGGACTTCTACTACAGGCTTATATTGAAAGCTAGTGAGAAAGCTCTACATGCTAGTGTTAACAAAGGCACCATCACATAAGGATCCTATATCACAACCTAGAAGGAATACTTAAATAGAAATCACTAATATTCTTATCTCCTGTATGCTTAGCAAGTTGAGTGTACCTTCTAATAAATTGAGATCATAAGATGAATTGTCAGGCTTGTGTAGGGCTGGATGTGTGTTAAAGAGATTTGCAACAAAAGCCAAATTGAGTTTAGGGTTGCCTGCAACCACATCAGCTGGAGTTACAAACTGTCTGCAGCCCAATTTATCTGCCTGTTGGAGCATGTATTCAGCCCTCCTCAAGTCATTTTTATCCTAAAAGAAAAAAAAAAAAAATGTAATGAATACTAGCATGTTTCAATTTTTTACTGAATCTTTAGCTTGGCAAATCTTTACGTGACTCATGCCAGTCTCTCCCTCATTTCCCCAATGTTCCCCCAATGCCTGAGCTAGCTCTTCCAGCCCATAAGAACTCCTCTCTTCCCATTTTCCTCCCACTTTCCTTCAGTCTTTTGCTTCTGTGGCTGCCTGCACAGCATTCCTCACACATCACAGCAACAGCAGTAGCAGTCAAGATGTAGTGGTTTTATTTTCGTTTCCAGACTGTCGATTCCCACACTGCATATTCTGCTCTGTGTGGGATAGGTTCACCATCACTGCTTTAAACTGATATTCCCAAGCACAGTAATTACAGATGATGCCCAAAACCCTCAATAAGCCCAAATCCTTCAGAATGTGACAATCCACTACCTTGCTTTCCTTATAATATTTTTTGCCTCTGAATCATCTTAACCTGGTAACCTACGTGTTATTTCATTTATTCATCCTTATTATTAATCTACATAGAATAAATCAGTCTTCAAAACTGGGTAGCACATACTTTTTGCCTCTAATATTCACAACACAGAGTTACTATTTATAGGGAAATTAGTTAGTAATTTAATTACTGTTAGAATTAAGAATTAATTGGTACACTCAACCAGAAAATTGCTCTAGAACAAGTTATTACATGTTATTGACACTGTTTTATAACCCATTACAGAACATGATCATATGAACTGTAGGAAATCACAGGGAAAAAATTAACTACTATCCTTTCTCACTCTCCAAAAAAAAAAAAAAAAACAAAACCAAACCCAAAACAAAAGCAAAGAAACAAAGCAGAGCTCTTCCCATGAAGGAGTTCAAGAGGACTAAAGCTTGTATGCAAACATAATTTTGCATGTCAGTTTTCATGATTATAATAAATAACAAGATTCTACTTAAGATCTGAACTGACAGATAAATATTTAAATCTTAGGCAGGCAAGCTCAGTTTTATATCAAATGCATCATCAGAATAATCCTTCCAACAAGCATTATGTAGCAGCTTAGAGAAAAGTGTTTTCACATCTATCTAGGCTGGTTTTAGACCTCCTACCCCTTTACAACTTAAAGCTTGATGGTTGCCACACTTTCTTTTCCTGCTGGTTATTGGAAGGGCTCACATGTTATTTTTGAAAGCTATTTGGTTTGAGGAAGGATCACAAGGTTTGTGAAGTTTACTCTCTTTCTCCGTGCCTGAATTCCAGAAGAGTAGAACTGAAGCAGGATGTTATAATATTCATGTTGGAGGACCCAGTTGAAAATAAAACACAGTTAGACACAACTTCAAGTAAAACGTAGCTCCAAATTTTAGACTGCAGAATGCATTATCCTGTTTCAGCAGCACCCTGGAACTTTACTCAAGTTTTTACCCATTTAAGCTTTTGTGATATTGAGGAATCTGAGTGAGATCTTGTATGCGTTACAAAACAAAAGGGGATTCCAGGACAGCCTTGTAATCAGAATGTTGGATACATACATAAAGTTCTCAAATAATTCCAGTCTATTTTTATGTTTCTGGATACTTACATGAAATCCTGAAAAGTCAATTTTAATGGGCAATTCATCAAGGTCATCTCCTTTGGGTGCAATCTGATTTAACAGATGGTAGTATGCTCTTGAATCCTAAAAACGAGTAGTATAATATATTTTTTTTTTTAAAAAGCAAGTATGTAGCCTTTCATAGCCATTTACTGCTCATAGTCCAATTCAAAAAACACAGAAGTAAAAAATATGGCACCATAATTTCAGTGACTATGGATGAGGTCATACAGCCATTTTACTACAGTATTTCACACAGAACTTACTTAGCTAGATGACAGAGAAAAGGAATGTCTACTAATTATTCTGGACAACGTTAGTTAAATTTAGTCTGCTGGATGAACTAGACAGGTATAATTCAGATATTTAAGGCAAATTTATATAGGTTACCCACAAAAAAACCCCAATATGGAACTTATTTTAAGCATTGGTATTTTATTCCTTCACTGTCGTTTTCAAACAGGCTTTTACAAAAATTTCCATTTCTTAATCGTCAAGGTAATTGGAATTAAAAATGGAGAGCAAAATGGCTCTTTTAGGATGAGACTATAGCGACAAAAGAAGTTATATTTATTTGACATAGTTTTCAGTATGCTTCTGTTTCCCCCCTTCCCCCCCCCTCCGCCTAAGAACTAGGAAAATAAACAAAAACCTGCTAGTTTTAGAAGTATTTAACAGTTCTCTTAATTAGCATACATAATTTTTAACATAGTAGCAGTTTTCCTACAAAACCCCTAGTTAAAGGTTTGCTTTAGTAATAGCCTTGGTGGCATTTGAAAATATACAACTACCAATTAAGGACATGTTTTTTTTTCAGTGAAAAGAGGTCTTATCACCCTAGGGAATCTTCCTCCTTTAATTTTAGTTTTTAAAAGTTGGGTTTTTTCTCTCTTCAGCTGGACTTGTTACAGTATTCTGCATACCTTATGCAGAGTGACTTAAGAGAGAAGAATTATGCAGATCTGCCATGTGCCCCAACAAACCAGCATGCTTTTCAGCCCCCTTGTGACAGTAAATTGGCACACCAGCAAAGCACAGTGACTGAGGGGGCCTGCTCTCTCCTCAGATCAAGAACCAGTAGCTACCCCAGACAGGGCTCTGCGTAACTGTTCTTTCCTCAAGAGGTTTCCTACTCTTCTGCCAAATGCTAGGTAGGAAGGAAGGGCAATCACCATTAGCAAATATGCACTGGGAAAAGATTTAAAGTCATACACTTCTTCCCTAAAACAAAACAACACAAGAAAGAAAAGATGGGTTTCTGTAGACCCAGGAGCAGGGAAGGACAGACAGGACAGGAATATGGCAGTGTGAATTGTCCTAAGGAACTCCAGTAACAATCTTAAAGCATTAGAACTCCCTTGAATATGAGCTTGTCTGAAACGTTTGCTTTACATTGTGATGTGGTAATACATTGTCTGAGCAACTGAACAGGATACGAGAGATCAAAATAATGCTCTCCCAGTGTTGAAAAACACAGATGAACTTATAGCTAGAAAAAGAAGATGACTACTGTTTTCTAAATACTTATGACCTGGCTCATTTGTTTCTATGCATAGTGTGTTTAAATACCATTATGTTCAATTACCAGAGGGATAACTACATACCTTAATGTCTTGGCTGAAGTTACTGATTTTCTGCCATCCCGCATTGGTCAGATGGTAGTTCACCCAGCGTAGCAAGAGCTCTTCTGGGGAAAGCTTCATTAACTGATCTAGTTCTTCCCCTTCATTTAGCAAGGCAATAAGAGCTAAAAGCAAGTTTGAAAGAAAGCTGAAATAATTGCAATTGTGATCTCTGTTAATTCCAAATTGCTGACATCACTACACCTGGCATCACTCTTACCTTCATTTCTGGAGATCTCAATATCGGCAAAAAGACCAACTTTAATGATCTGCCACAAGAGTCCTAACACCAAGTGTGGTTTTCCTTCTTGCAAATCTTGTGATCCGATATTAACAACTGTACAGCCAATAGCAGATGCTGAGTTCAGAGCCAGGTTTAGGTTTTCCTATTTGAAATATTGTTTAACAAATCTATGAGGATGTAATTCTTAGTAAATGTATTAATATTAATTTTTTTAAGTTTCAGAAGTTATAAGAAATAATGCATTAGTTCAATGGTTCCCAGTAGAAAATGTACTCAAGAGTTTTGTGAACCACCATGTATCTTACCAAAATTTAATGGAAAACATTATTGACAATGTTTAATATGGACCCAACAAAAAATCATGGACCACCTTCAGCAGCTTGGATTGCTGAGGAATGCTCTAATCAAAATATTTTGATAAGTATCACATACACAAATGAAACAATATTGCTCAAAACATCAGGGGCTTGATCCTGTGGAAAAACGTGCTCAATATGAAATTCTGCCCTGTGCAGGAGGCTACTGACATCACTGTCATCCCATCTTGGATCCTGTACAGGCCAACATATTTATTCAAGCAACTGTTAAACCGTAATTGAATGGACAGCAGGAGAAAATCATGGTAATTCAATATCCTGACACTGAAAGTAAAGCTGAGGATTGTCATAGGTGAAACATTCCAAGAAAAAAGTACCAGGCAGCTCTTGTAAATATTACTCTCTATCTTCTTCTGTCATATTTTAGCTATCTACAGAGACAACATAAACACATGTAGTATCATCTTTGCTGACACATCTTTAAATAAATAGAGATTACTAAACCCACTTGGAGAATTTAGAACATGGTATGTTTTAACTTTTCATATTTTAATGTCACAGTCTGAAATGAAAGCCTGTCAATTAACTGAAGTTTTTAATAAGGATTTTTTTTTCTCATTAGGCTGGTAACTTATGAAACTACTTCCCTCTTCCAGACCTGTTTTCTTATACCCAATCTGAAGTTGTAAAAACTGTTTCTCCCAAATATTTTCATGACTTCATACACAATTAAACATAGAGCTTCCCATCTTCTGTCCAAGTCACCCTCCAGTATTGAAAATTCATCATCCTACTATACAGCATACAGCCACACAGATACTTTCTGCATTGCTAAAATATGACCTGACCATCCACCAGAAGTCTTAGTAAAGCAAAATGACAAAAGTGAAAAGGGAAAGACCTGAAGGAAAGCATGAAAAATACAAGTTTGCCTGCACATCATTCTAAGAAATAGGAGAATTCAGCAGTTTATTAGAAAATACAATTTCATGCTTTGACCTTTTTTAATACATAGGGTCTTCTTTTTTCCTCTCTCCTCCAGGAGAACTGTCATTAAAACATTAAAACAAAGCTATAAAAAAATACTTCACTTTTTCTTTGTGGCAAGTTCCTATCTGTGCAGTACTTACAGAAATAGTGAAAGGAGTGAGTTTCTTCTTATTAATAGCCCTTTCATCGATTGTATCTGGTTGTGAAAAGTTGATCATTTTGCTAAGGAAGAAACGTCAGAGTTTATTCAATCTTTAATTTATCAGAAAATATATTATTTGATTATAAATATTTTAAACTAGCTGTAAATATTTCTGACAAGGTGAAAAAAAAGACCATCTAATTTTCTAAATTTCCTCTCCCTGTTAAATGATTGCACATTCATCCATAAACCTCCAGATAATATGTAATTATAAGAAACTTGAGCAATTGGTTTTTATACTTAAGTAACAAAGCATAACTGTACTATTAAAAAAAGTTATTGAGAAGATTAAAACTATAAGCTAAAGACAATTAAATAGTTTCTAATGAAAATCTTTGTAATATAACCAGTGTATTTCTGCACTGCATTTCTACAGTATCTTGCATCTACAAGTTACTGTAGATGGATCTCAAGGATCTCAAAGACTAATTCACTTCAATACTAATAAGCTAATCCCTCGTTACCAGGGTATATGAATGAATAAGTACTACTGGTTTAATTTAACTAACTAGAAAGTTACAGCAGACTGAAGTTAAGGGACCTACTATATGCTCTCTGTTTTGCCACTGATTCAATTCAGATTTCTGTTCCTTCCATCCTACGATTTAGTAACTAAATTTAGTAACTTTTAAAAATATTTGAAATAGCAAAGATTTCTAATTATTTCAGCTAATGAATATATAAACAGCCCGCACATATCTGATGTGTATAATTATGGATGTGAAATGGAAGCCCACTTCTATAATATATGCACAGAGTCACCTAAAAAAATTGCTAAAAATAACATTTCTATGGGCAAACAGATTTTCTGCATCCTACACATTCTTAAAATATTTAAGAGTGGAGTTCTGACATTAAAGCTGGACTCACCAAAGAAGAATGCCATCTGCAAGAGATTTAAAAAGACTGGCATCTGATGGGTTCATAGGTAGGAGGTGTTTACAGTCTGGGTCATCTTGTAGAGCTTTATTTATCCAATTAACAAAAGCAACTTTTTCCTCCTCTGAAACAGAAAACAGCATTAAAATAATCCATTATTATTTCCATGAGCATATACTACTAAACATCAGACTTGGGTCAAACAGTTTCATCTGCAACAAAACCCCTTAGTTTCACAGGGGCCGCTTATGAAAAGAATCAGTGGGAAAGCATCCAAAAAATGGCAAATACAGATTAATCTTTCTCCTACTGCACTCTCTAAACATCTGGTGAATTTCTGAAGGATAACATAAAAATCACAGTGACATAATGGGGCATCATGGCTTCAGTTTCTCTGCAATTACAATGAAAAGAGGGAAATTTGTGATCTGAAATATGCAACATCTCAATCTATACACCGTTGGTTTATAATGCACCATTTCGTTCTGCTTTCTGCAAGGATTCCGGAGACTGGCAGTATTTTTGAGAATGTCATCTGGATTACTGCGTTGTACTTCGCTGCGATAAACTTAAAAAATGTTTAGTACCTCAGTTTTAAATTCTCTTTCATATTTAGTGCAGAATTTATGTATGTAAGAATGCTTATTGGGACAACAGTCAATCAAGTATTAGTATCCAAACTCCCAGACAGTATAGGTGGTATTCACCTCACTTACCTCAAGAAGCATAAAAGACAGGTATCTACATCTGACTCATTACACTTCTTTAATTGTCAGTGGAAAGAAATGTGAAATTTTAGTGCACACTTCATCTCATCATAAACTAGATGGCTGATGAGGCCAGGTCAAATGAATTGCAGTCTAGGGGGATCAGTTTCTCTCTACCAAAAATGAAAGGGAGTCTAAACAATTAGCTCTGACATTGTCCCCCCTACAGGCATCCTTTGAGATGGAATATATCCCCTGTTTTGGAGATACACCAAGTGCAGCTGGTGCTATAAGGATAATACCTAGTGATAGGGTATCACCACCTTTAGCTAACTGAAGTTAATCTTCCTCATATATAGAATCTTAACACTCTTCTGGAACCACAGCAAATCCCAAACTTGAGTCACCAAAAAAGTTGCAATATTACTTATTGCAGTATGATGCTGGGAGGTAGTTAACATTCTGACCAGGAGCTGCAATGCAGTTAGGCACAACTACCAATGCAAATGACGTGCAGCAGGGTGAGGTAGAAAGAAACAGAGATCAAATATTAAAAGCAACTTCTCAAGTATGAGAATGAGGCTATGTAAAAATCATATGGGAGTGAACAATTCTGTAATGGCATAGACACAGCTGAGGAGGTCCTCCCATCCAGAAGTAATATGTGGGTTCTTCCATTTTAGTTAACAGTGTGGAGATGAAAATGAGGATTCATTTTTATCTGAACATAGGAATAAGTAGATTAGCATGTAATGAAGCCAAAAACTTTACTAGCATTACTAGAAGTATGATAAAGAGGTCCTTTTTTTATTTCCCCCACATGCTGTCAGTGATTGCTTTAATTTTTCACTCTAGCAAAGATGCCTAACTTACTTCTGAGCGCAGCATGAAACTAACAACTGAACAGCCCACATTTTAATAAACTACCACCCACACTTACCTTGTCCATCTCCACATGTTTTCTCTGTGTTAATTTGCTTTCAACAGTAACTTTTTCCAGTTGTTTTTTTCTTTGTCTGTAGTACAAATTTAAAGAGTCTTCCTCCATGCAAAATTTGCTTGTTTGATTATTTCTTACCTGAATAAGAGTGCTGTGTCCCCTCACTAGAGATTGCTGATGTTCCTCCAATTGCTGTAATTCCTTGCTTTTTGTTTATTGATTTTCGGAAAGATTTGCTAACATCTTTACTTTTCAGTTCCTGAATTATCTGGAATAGGAAAAATAGAGAGCACTTTGTGATTGACCATACCTTTAAATAACTAAGTGATAACCATGTAAGTAGTCCAGAGTCAGTAATTAACTGGACTGCCTGTCTTTGGTATTTACATTGACTTCTGTTCTGGGGAAAAAAAAAAATCAAAAATTACTGTATGGGTAGGTAAAACTCGTTTAAATCCCTTCATGAAACTTGCATACTGGATATCTAATATATTATTTTCTCAGGAAGTACCTCAAGTGCTACCTTTATTAAGTCATGCTATCTAGAAAAAGTAGGTACATAAGAGACTACACAATTTTTCCACAGATATCTTGGTAAACTAAATAAAACAACTGAAGATAAACACATTTTCAATGACTATAGCATATTTCTTCCACTTACTTCATCATATGCTTTGCAGTAAAAGGTTACTATGTGACATTTACACATGCTCTTAAGCAAGCTGACAACATTTTTCCACCTGTCTGCAATGTAAACCACATTGGATATATACTGATATCTCCTAAATTTGGCCAAATACTGTAGAGGTCTCAAAACTGACAATTAAGTATAAGTAACAGATACAGTTCAATACCTGGATGCAAATATTTGCATCTCACCTATTAACCACTGCAAATTAGACTCTTGGAAAGAAAGATCAATAAATAGTTCAACAAGCAACCTGCTGCAATTAGCAGCAGTACTCTACATTCAAAGCAAAAACTAATCATCCCCAAATACACACAAAAACCAACAGCCTGAAAAGTTTCTGTTTCTCTTAAATAAAGCACACTAGCCAGTGATCCACATTTTTAAAAAGTCTAAAACTTTCAAATTTGTTCACTAGAAGGGAAAAACTGTACCTCACTCCCAGTAAAAAATTGCCTTTAGTATAGAGATTAAGCATAGTAGTGCAAGCATTAGTTTACCACTAAGAGAATTCAGAGGCTGGTATCGAATTATCTAATCTTTTGACAGGGCAAGGGCTGACCCAAAAGTTTGTAAAATATGTAGTCCTTCTCCTTATCTCTGAGGAAATAGAAAAATAGGACTAATTGAAACTACTGTGCTCTCACAGGCTGCCCAAATGAGATTTACTAAGTTAAATGAGAGAGTGAAATATAAAGACTGGAAAATAATCACATAGGATACTGTAAATTGTCACAGAAAACTTTCCCACTCTTAGTTATTTGTATCAAAACAGTACTCAGTTGTACCATTTAATTCAGTTTTCTATCCTAGTTCTCAACAGATATCAGACAGCAGAGAAACATACAAAGGCTATGACTTACAGAGACAAATTCTTCAAAGTTGATTCTCCCATCCTTGTTGGTATCTGTCACTGCAATGATTTTTTCTACAATCTCACGGACTTTGTAACCGGGCAAGGGCAGACTTGCTTCTTTAAATAGGTCTTGAAGCTCATAATCACTGACATACCCGCTGTTGTCAATATCTATGAAATGAAAGCACAAGTTATTTTTATGCTTGTGTAAAGAACCAAGTATAGTAACTCTTGAGAATAAATAAAGTGCAAGAAATACAGTTCTAGGAGACAAGTATTTCTTCTGACATAGATAAGGAAGCACTTGTGGATTAGAGACAGAACTTGCTAGGATTTATGCCATCCTGTTATGTATTTTCTCAGAAACTACCTTGTAATCCCAAAGTACAGCTATAATAAGGTGGCAAATTTGTAAATAGCGAAGTTTGAGGTTTTTTTAAGACTTGGAACAAAATTCTCTATAGAACTTCAAGTGAAAGGGAGGTCAATGATTATATTCCTACAGTCAATATTATACCATTCACAATCAGTAAACTCAAATCTGATGCAAGCTGTTATTAGAAGAGCACACTTACACAAGAAAAACTACTGACACAAGAACTCTGGTCAGACACAGGTTGCCCAGGGAAGTTGTGGATGCCCCCTCCCTGGAAGTGTTTAAGGCCAGGCTGGATGAGGCTTTGAGCAACCTGATCTAGTGGAAGGTGTCCCTGCTGATGGCAGGGGGGTTGGAACTAGATAATCTTTAAGGTCCCTTCCAATCCTAACCATTCTATGACTCTGTGAACTCTACCTGACTCTGCATTTTGCTTCTTATCCTAGTACCTAACAGGTGTTTTCTGTTCTTCAAAACTTTTGATGTGGTTAGGCTTACCTGTGAAGAATAAATCTGGGATGATCTGTATCTGTTTATTAAAGGTGACCTTTCTTAATCTACTAACTAGCTCTGTTGGGAGCAATTTCTGCTGCCGCCTTCCCTTACACTTGGCTCCCAAGACCACATGTCAGGAATGTCCATGTACAAAGTACCAGAACAGTTTTTTCAACAAGAAGTATGGTATAGCTCAACAATTGTGGAAAGAAATGAATGGCTATATCACATAAAAATAAATTAAGAAAAATTCAGTATAATTTGTGTTACTCATGCTGAATAATGCAGTAGCACAGAAGAAAGTATAAAAATACCCTTTGTTAGGCCAATCTGTGTGCAGAAAGCTGTCATGAATTCTTGCCTTAGCATAACAAAGCACCATTTTACAAACCTATAATATGTTTTTATCCAATGTAATGGATTAATCAAACACATTAACTTTCCTATTTTTTATATATATGCTTATTTTCATATATATGTATACACATGTGTATATATATATTGTAAACAACCAGAATTTGACAGTGTCCATTAAAATACCCTTACCTGTAGTGCAATGTCTACACAATGGATAGAAGTACTTTTAAAAGCAGAAAAGCCATAGTCCATACACAGTATAGATGAAGCTCAAACACACACAAGAAATCATATCCAGCAAAACCAGTGCTGGATATAATGCCCATCGTTTTATATATTTAATGCTAATATTTTCCATGTTAGGCAACAATTTTCAGGACTTGAGGGTACTAGTGGATGAAAAGCTGGACATGAGCTGGCAATGTCTGCTTGCAGCCCAGAAGGCCAACCATATCCTGGGCTGCATCAAAAGAAGTGTGGCCAGCAGGCTGAGGGAGGGGATTCTGCCCCTGTACTCCACTCTGGTGGGACCCCACCTGTAGTGCTGCATCCAGCTCTGGAGTTCTCAGCACAGGAAAAACATGGACCTGCTGGAGAAGGTCCAGAGGAGGGCCACAAAAACAATTAGAGAGCTGGAACACCTCTCCTGTGAAAAAAGGTGGCGAGAGTTGGGGTTGTTCAGCCTGGAGAAGAGAAGGCTCCAGGGAGACTTTATTGTGGCCTTCCAATACTTGAAGGAGGCCTATAAGAAAGATGGGGAAAGGCTTTTAGCTTCCCCCCTAGTGGTAGTGATAGGACAAGGGGTAATGGTTTTAAACTAAGAGAAGGTAGATTTAGACTAGGTGTAAGGAAGACATTTTTTATAGTGAGGGTGGTGAAACACCGGCACAGGTTGCCCAGAGAGGTGGTAGAAGCCCCATCCCTGGAAACATTCAAAGTCAGGTTGGACGGGGCTCTGAGCAGCCTGCTCTAGCTGAAGGTTTCCCTGCTCACTGCAGGGGGGGTGGACTAGATGAGCTTTAAAGGTCCCTTCCAATCCAAACCATTCTATGATTCTATGACCATATTAAAGCTCTTGAAAAACATGAATTAATAGTATTTTCCCGGTTCTATGGGATGCATCCAAGATAAATAATTTAAAAGAATGTCACAAGTAACACAAGTCAGAAACAGAAGAAAAATGATGGCCACTTTTCTGACTTGTCAAGGTGCTCCCACTTGTTTTTTTCTCGATTATTAGTTGAAAGACCTCTCTTCATGTTGTCTGTAGTTTTAGAACTCAGCCAATAATACCAGAGTGGATGAATATGCATCATGTTACAGAAGGACAGGCACAGAAACACGCTTTCATCTCTCGCCATAATTGATTGCTATACAGTAATTTCCCTGTAATCTATACTACACTATGTAGCTTCTGTGCAGATTCATAAGTAGGTCACATTTCACTGCTGATGAAAAGCTAAAAATACCTGTTAAAAAATACCTCTTTTTGTGTTTTTGATACTACCAACAATTCACAAATCACTACACAGACAAACTTCATGTCTGTGTATGTATTAATCCATCCACTAGCTGGTTTGCAGACATGTAACAACACACGTAATAACAGTGTTGGTCTAAAAAGCAGAGGACATGCTCGCAAGCTCACTCAGATTACCAGCTATTTTATTTCTCTAGGTTCATCTTTCACTGAGGGTAAGTTTCCATGATGACAAGCAGAGAGTTAAATACATCCTTTTCTCTCAGCCTACCGATAGAGCAATTTATTGATAGCAAGCAATTTATTGATAAAGACACTGGAAACATAAAAATGAAAAGGAAAAAAGCTAAATGGTACTTAATTTTTATATTTTACAGAAAACAATACAGTAAGGAAGAAAATGCTTTTCAGTGAGTAGAAGCAGTACAGACAATTCTCAAAGATTTGAAAACATGCAGGTAGGAAAGGGAGAAAAAGAAGGAATGCAGACTGTGAAAAACAAATAAAAAGCTGTCAGACAACACCAGTGAGTATCTACCTATCCTAACACATCCCAGTAGATTGACACATGCGTACAGTGCTCTTTTCTTTGCTCTGTCTTTCCAGCTCCTGCAGGCTGTAGACTTCTTGAGCTACAGACTACATCAAGTTTACTGTTTAATAGCAACTCATGAATTTTCATCCATGGGTGTTATCTTATTCCTTTAGCATTTCTACTCTTTTGTGGTCAACAACATTCTGAGTCAATGGGTTCATGGTTATATTTTTTGGCATTAAGATCTCTAACAGAGCTTCCCAACAGTCTCTTTACTAAGCTGGAGTCTACTAATATGTAAGATTTCTTGCCTAAAGTGACCCTGTTCCCCCATTATGAATGATTACAAATATGTTTGTTTGATTTGCTGAGCTGCACAGTTACACATCACCCCCTCAGAACTGCAGCAAACAAGACATAAAGCAGACATGAACTTTAACATTCACAACAGTATTGCAATCTGGAAATAAGGGTTAGTTGCTATATAATTTCTCATTCTTTCTGTTTGCTCTCTGATTAATCTGCAAACATCCTGTCAAGCATACAAATTGTGCAGTTAGTTATTAACATCTGCTAGCTACAAAAGATCAAAAAATGTCCAAGTTTAGCTTACTTAAAACATAAAATCTGATCCAATAAATGAAAAGGGCAATCGCTAGTTCACCAAAGCATGTAAGTAAAACAAAACAAAACCAAAGTGCCAGTAATATAACATGAAAATATATTTGACAATTGGAGTTTAATCAAACATTTATTTTTTTTTTTAGATTTAAGGAGTTAAAAAAACCCTGAATTTTGAGACCTACTATGCTGCATATACAATAGCACAGATAATACAACTCCTCAGCAAGAAAATGTATCTGTTTTCATTGCTGAAGTTGAAACAAATTCATAAACATACATAGCTTCAGTGAAAATAAAGGGGTTTATGTAAACATTCTTATTTTCTTAGATATTACCAGAAACACAGAAGGAAAACATGACCCTATCAAACCAAAGTGATCCATAAAGATTTCTTCCACAAATCCTACACAGCTTCGCAATGTTAATGGCATCCTTATTGTTTTCTTATTTAAAACATACCTATCTTACTGAATGCTTCTCTTAGATCTTCAAGCTCTTCACGAGAGATAGTAGTTATATTGTTTTCCATCTTTGGACAGCAGGAAGTGTCCTCAATTGCTTATACCTAATAATAATAAATAGGAAATGTAAAAGGCTTTAATTCCAAGCACACACTGCTCTTGTTACTGATCTTTTCAATACAAGGTACCAGACCTGAATGACATTCCCAGGCCTGGCACATTTAAAACATTACAAACAACACTTTAAAGTACATCAAACACCTAGACATTCTTTTCACTGTAATAGTAACAGAGAATTCACAATAGCAGCACCCATTTCCATATGCTTGATGTCTTCATTTGCATAGAATAAGCACTGACCAACAATGAACTTCCATTGCATGAGTGGTTTTCCAACATTAAAAGCATCACCTTATGTTTCAACAAACAGTTGCAGTATCATTGTCAATTACTGGCCAGTGCTAGGATCTAGTCCTGCAAAGCACTGAGCACTCCAGCATTTGCACAGTAGTAAACCTCAGTGGGACACTTTCAAGTACCTGCTTACAATCAGTAGGTGAGCACTGATGAGTTTTTCCACAGCTGCTGCAGAAGCTACCTCCTCCTGACCTTTACTCCACCCTTCTGACAAGCCTGTTGTCTCACAACACTGTCCAGGAGCTGAATAAAGGCGTTTACTGAGCACAACGACTGGAGTCTCAATGTGAATCTGCTTTCTCTGCCCAACTCCATGGAAAAGCAACACAGAACAGAAGGCACCTTCGCAAGGGTTGATAAACCCCCATGCCAGATCCTTGCCCCATTCCTCTTATTGAAGCTCTACTACAACAGGATGATTCAGACCCTTGTTAGTAAGTGTGAGTTTGTAAAGAAGTCACACACAATTGTCTCAACGCGCAAGCTTGTATTTGCATTTGCCACTTTCCACCGTGCACGTGCCATTGGCACACACAAGGTAAGCCTACAGCAGCACCCACCTCCAAGCACACAGCTCTCAACACTTGGCTGTACAGAGCACATTGCTGTGCCTGCCATAAAGTCAAAGTTTTGTCTTTTTTTTTTTTTTTAACTTTATAAGCCAAAACCAACAAAAATCCACCTTACATTAGTATTTTCATCAAAGCTGTCCTATACTTTGTGTAGGTTTTCCTTCTGGTTTAGTTGCTTCTGGTTTAGCAGTTTTGCTTTAGAGCAAGAAATTTTTTCCTGTAATGGCCAGGTTATCATTTGCTTATAATAATTATATTCAGATCTGCAATATGCTGCTGCTTCTTCCCAAAAAATCGTATATAGCAACAGAACTGTACTATCACCCACTAGGCAAGACACTGGAAGAGGAAACCAAAGTCCTGAATTCAATGACTAGTTTTACCATAGACCTGCTGGATGCCCTTGGGCAAGACTGTACCTTTGTATGTCCTGACTAATCAGGTTACAGACTTTCCCAGTGCCCGGACTGTTCCTTAACTAGATGTTTGTACAATGCCTGCAACAACAGGATCCCTCTGAGGTCTGCTGTAAGAGTGTAATAACAGAATCAGGATCTAGAGATTAACCATTACCAATCTGAATTTCTGTTAGAAAATAATTTATTCCCCATTCTGGCTGTGTCGGTTTTCTTTCAATCCTTCACAATCTGACAATGAGAAAAGTCACCTGCACATGAGAGAAGAGGCAGCAGGGCACTATATCAGCAGTGGTTTGCTGAGGGATTGTGCCAAGGGTCAGACACATTTCCCGGAGGTTTACTAAGGAGTGCCCAAGGAATGCCTAAAGTATTGCTAATGTGGATTACACCTACTCCACTGTGAAAACAGTTTTAATACAAAATAAATTAGCTGTGGTCAGCCACAAACAGGAATAAAATTGCCTTACTACACTAACCACTGAAGTGTCTCCCGATTTTAGAATTATAAACAATGACATCGCTGCTGGAGATTATTAAACCGAGAAAGATATCACACTTCTGTATTAGTGATGACAAAGCCCAACAGACTCTGCAACTGGGCAGGACATTTGTTTACAACAAACTGGCTCTCCCTGCCTACCTATGAAGCAAGACCAAATGAGAAGTACAGAACAATCTGTTGGTTTGGATGGCGCTCGCATGTTGCCCCCCTTTGCTTGGAGAATGAAGAGCACAGGGTCAGCCTTTCTTTCTTGTGTAGCTCCCTCCAGTTACGCTGAAAGCAGGGATTCTCACTGCATCCAATGCCTAAGGCTGTCAATATTCTAATGTCCTTGCATTTACACAGTATCTTTCAGGAAAAAAAAAGAGACGTGATACAACTTGACCAAAAAAAACCCCCACAGCCATCTGGATTAAAAATTGAACTTGCAAATATTAAATTGTTAAGAAACATGGTTATTCAATGTATTTGGATACTATGTTGGAAAGCACGTTGCTGGATGGAGATTCAGGTAGTCAAAAAATAGAACTTGACGAGGATAATTTTAATTGATAATTTTACTCAAATCTACCAATCCAAAACTATGTATTATAGCATTCCTCCTCACATTATTTTGCCTTTTGCTGAACCCAGAATGATATACTTTTCATCATTTATATTCATATTCTATATAAATAAAGAGTTATTACATGAAAAATATTTTGAGAGATCTTTCTTAACTGTAATTATGGACATGTTTAGATTACTAGACACTTTTCAATAGGATGGTTTTGATTCCCCCAACAGCACTTTCATAAGTGCAAAGTAAGTTTTTACCTTTGATTTTCTAATACAAGAGGCAACAGGGCAATCTTTTTGCTACTGTTTTTACTGCTGGTAAAAGAACTCTGTATGGGAAACAATAAACTATACTATACTATGAAGTACTACTCATTAAGAATTCTTGGATCTGTTTGTAATGAAAAGCATACTCTTCAGGACATGTTGGAAAGGTCGCTAAAGTTAAAAAAGAAACACTGAATGAGGTATCCCACATTTAGCTAAACCTGTATGCATAATAACATGCGCAATGCTCAAGAGCTAGCAATGAGTAGCCTTCTCCACATTTTTTCAAAATACTATTTTTAAATAAACAAAGAAATTATTTGTTGAAAATACTATAAAATACTGTGATTTTATTTTAAAGAACTTTTTTTTACTTTTTATTCTTGAAATTTTTTTTGTTTAATCTTTGAGGTTTATGTTTTTATGCTTATCTGAAACCATCAGTTAGACATTTCCTTCAAAAGGAAAATGCCTTGGAAGTTAAGAGTCTCATGTAACAAAAACTTCAAGTGGGGGTCAGGGCTTTAATGAAAACAAGTATCATGAGGTGTGCTGAAACCTTCTAAGATGGCAACTGTATTGCCAGACCATTGAAGAAAATACAAGAAATTTTTTTGTCACAATAGTATGTGACTGCTGTCTCAAAGTACAAAAGTAAAAATATTTATTTGGGCCCTATCTGCAGCATTTCTTTATTTACAGTTACACTACTGTGTAAGAAAGAAAAAACAAGTTACATGCACTTTGCAACCAGTTCCCATCTCAGCAATTGTTTCCACTTCTTTTAAGGCAGTAGTTTACTTTTCTTCCATGATGCTATATAGAAAGAGTTCTTAAACACCAGTGAGTTATTTTCATTGTAGCCTGACTACTTGGGTTAGTATTTTCTCTGTCTTCACTGTGTGGGTCACACAGGATATAGCCTTAAGTGTGGGAGGAGAGTTAAGTATTTTGCCTTCTCATCACTCAATCTTATTTAAGTACTAGATTTAAAATCCTCCTCATCCATTTTGCTAAGCTTACTAGCAGCATGTACCAGTCTTCATACTCAAAAGTTAAAATGTATAGCTAGGAAAAAATGAATTTACACTCAGAGGTTTCTGGAAGTGCAACTACCTTCATTGGAAGCCTGATGTAGCAATTAAAAAAAAAAAAGAAATAGTGAACTGTGGAAAAATGGGGGGGAAAAAATTAAATGCTTAAATCCAAATTGCTCAGGAAATTTAAAGGACTCTGAAGCTGCAAAAAGACAGATGACAGTGCTCTGAAATACAGAAACAGTATGTCAAAGCATAAGTGAAATATTTAGCCACATACATGCAAAAGAGAACACCGCTTCTGTCATAACGTTAATGTTTTTAACTATTTACCATTATCATGAGTCAGATTTCATCTAAAACGATTTATTCAAAGTTGCAATGAAATGTTTCACTCCTCCCCTTTTATGTTTTATAATTTAGATTTTCCATCATATTCTATTACAGAAAATAGCAATCTGATTTCCAAAGACGTTGATTATATCGGCAACACAGTAGAAAAATCTGTTCATGAATGAAGAAGTTAAATAAAGCTAATACCTCTGCTCCAAGAGACAGTCTTAAATACCCTATTATATAATTACAGGGTAAATTAGATGGTCAATTAAATAGCAGAAGTGCTGTAATCATGGTCCTGGCATTCAGGAGAGAGCTAGTCTGAGCAATCAGAGACAACACCTAAACTAGTCCAGCATTTCAGACAATTTCAATTACAGAAACAAGGACCTTCTGTCCAAGTTAATAAATACCTTGCACACACAGGTCTATCACAACCCAAGATGACTCAGTCCATGGGCAATTCTGACAAGATTTAACATTAAGCCTCCAAAGCTACGTGTCAATTGGAACTGTGACTACTCACTGAAAGATATATTCGTTTACAGAGAACACATTTCTCTGTACTCTGGTAGTGTTCATAAGACATGCAGATTTTCTGTAGTCTATGCTTAAATGAAACCATTTCCTGCTGCCCCAGGACAGGGTAGGTACAAACACTGTTTTTATGCTGAGAAAGTCCCCTTGATCCTCTTTTCAGTCCTTGCCAATATGCTTAATGTGAACTGACAATAACCATCCAGCCCTAGCCTGCCTTCTATGCCTGGAAAGCTTTTTGTATCTAAAGACAATTCACTGGAGTCTCCTGGAAACATTCCATATCCAACATTAACACAGATACAAACTACTGTTGATACTATTGTGGTATTTATTTGTGTGCAGAGGAGTGTCTGTGGCTAAGCAACCGTGAAGGATAGACTAAGCAGGCCAAACAGCAGTTCCTGCTGGTTTTTTGACCTG